CTGTGGGGACCCTGGTGGTTCTGTTGGGTGTCTTCTGGTGGCTGCATGTGGGCTCTCAGGTGGTCTGTGGCGGTAGTCATAGGTCGCTGACCCAGTGGCCTGGCTGTGCTGGGGTGGGTTCGCGGTGGGCGTGGGGGGCTTAGGGTTCTGGGGTCATGCCGCTCCTGGGCTGTGGTCCTGGTGGGGCCGGGGGGCTTGAGTCCTGGCGGGCATGTTGCCGGGCTTTGGGTCGGTTTGTGCCCTGGTGCCCAGCTCTGGGCGGGGGGGCTTTGGTGCGCTGCAGGTCTCATGAGCTGGGGGTTGGGCTGGCTGGGGGTGGGGCCAGTGGCCCGTGGGAGGAGATAGGCCAACCCAGCCTGGGTGTCTAGTGTGCTATATGTTCTGAGAGTTGTCTGAATGATGGGTAGGGCATAGTGTTTCTTCTGGGGTGGGGCTGGATGATGGCCTTGGTGGCGGCCAGGAGCTGTGCTAGGTCGGCTGGCTGGCCCCTTTGTTGTGGCGGGGGCTCACTCTTGGTCCCTCCTTGCGCTGGTGGTGGCTGGGTGCTCACTCTCAGCTGAATGATCCTTGCTGGGGTTCAGCGGCCTCTTTGGGTTGTGGGTTGGCTGTGGGGCTGGGGTCGGGTCTTGGGGGGTCTGCACGGCTCTGAGGCAGGTGGACTGTTGGTCCCAGTTTCTGGCGGTCCTCTGGGCTCTGTCTGTCTGTGGTCTGGGGCTTTCCGGGCCTGGCGGTCTGTCCGGAGGAAGAGGTCTTGGGGCCTCACTCCCCGGGTGGGTTTTGGGAGACGGAGGAGCCTACCGGGGTCAGAAGGGGGAGCTGGCCAAAATGCTCCCACAGTGTGTGTGTGTGTGGGGGGGGATCAGCGACAAGTTTTTGTGATTTTGCAATGACACCTTTTAAATGACTGGAATAATAGAAGCACAACTCAAAACTTCTTCCAGCTCGAGCTGTTCACCACATCAACCTGTTCGACTTAAACCAGCAGTTTCACAAGTTCAGCACAGATCGTAGCGAATTATTGTGTTTTATTTATTAAAACTGATGCCAGTTCAATGACTGACTCGGTGCAGGTAATAAATCAGTGTAGAGACTGGTCTGCATGGTTGTGGTCTAGACCAGACTGTCAGGTGAGAGCAGAGTGGGGTCCAGTTAGGGGTTCCAGACACTCCAAGTCTGACCCACACAGCTGCAAGCCGGCTCGCGCCTCAGACACACACAGCCCCTCCGCGAGCCCACTTAAACCAGGATCGTTCGCTTCAAGCGACATGAAGACTTCTGAAAGCTGAAGTGGACCTGCAGAGCTCCATAGTCCGCAGATCCGTGTACTACTAATGCTGCATAAAGTGCCTGATTTTCCATGCAAGTGTCCCGAACTCACAACACGGTTATGTGGAGGAAACAAACATGTCGGTCTGTCTGAGAGGATTTACATAAAACAAGCAGAAAGACACCGACCTGTTCCGTGTGTGTGTGTGTGTGTGTGTGTGTGTGTGTGTGTGTGTGTGTGTGTGTGTGTGTGTGTG